TTTACTACTGCATCCAATGTCAATAAAGTTAGAAAGAGTTGTTACATCCGAGTGAGTTAGGAAAGCACCACACTCTGAAATCTGCTGTGAGTCCTTTATTGCTGGTGACTGAAAGTCAGCTCATGCTCAAAATCTCTCAGGCTCGAGGAAGGGGTTAGATTTCCTTTTACATGTTGTTCAGTGTAAGGGGGCAAAGCGGAATTTTACAGAAGCAGAATAAGCAAGTTAGGGGAGGAGGCTGGTAACTAGGAGGCAGGAGGCTCTGTGATTGTTGATTAACTAAGGAGGGCATACACAAGCAGTTCCCATGATTGCTAATTACCAGGGTTGGGGGGCATTCGATACTTTCCATACAATTAATCAAGGGGGTATTCACAATAGCAAGTGGGCTTGTCAAGCAGGATATGGTTACAACAGTTATATGTTTCTATGGTTCTAAGTACAACATGACCCAGCACAGGAACAAGACCCAGATATGCACTCAAAGGAGAAATGGCGGGAGGGGTGAGGTGGAGGTTAAGATGGAGTCTGTCTGACTCTCAGCAAGATGGAGTCTGTCTGGCTAACACAGGGTAGGTTAGCACAGTAATAGTATCTTACATGTGATAAACAGATCATCCTTCAGAACGGTGGCAGTTGACTAATTAGAACTTAGTCTTTTTGAACCGTTTCTCAATCCTTTAAGAGGCGTCAGTAAGGCACATATTACAACTTGTCTGAACAGGAGTTTGCAGAGGACAGCTCCATCTTCCCTGCTGGTTTTCAGCATGTTATTGGAATTAGACAGTCACTCTCGTCTTGTCATCACCAAATAAAAATGTTAGCACCCTCAATTCTAGGACAAAAGACTCACTCAGAATGTGATTGTGATTAATTTTAGTACTTGGATATTAAAAAAGAAAACTCATGAATCAGCGATCCACGTAAAAATTACTTGTGTCATTTGTAGCATTTAAATCTAAGCCCTGTTATGACATTTTTATTATTAGCCAAGGATGTGACCCTTATTACCAGGCAAAGAAGGAATGCATTGGTTTTATTCCATTTTTAGAGCGTAAACTACCATATCTGTCAGGTTTTGTGCTGGGCATTGCTGAAGCTGAAATGAATAGGGGTACTTCTGTCTTTGACCTGCTCACAATTTAATATGTGAAAGAAATAAACAACTTAATAAAATGTGAGTAGTGTTATAACTCAGAGTTACAAATCTAGGGTCAGGTGAGAATGGGACGTGAACACCATGATACCATTAGCCAGGAGAGGTGGGTGGCCTAGGCTGAGGGAGAGTTCAGAGAACACTCGAGCCTCAAACTGACAGCCAAAACCTACGAAGAAATCTCTTGCTAAGAAAGCCAGTCAATAGAGTCACAACTGTGACAGAATGCATATGGAATGAAGCTAATTTCATAGAGGGTTTCAACCAAGACTTCATAATAACCATATTAAGGTTGATCAGAGAAACAAATAAAAGAATTATGAAAAACAGGGAAGAAATAAAGCAATAAAATTCAAATAGGTAAATATTTACATACATGTTGACATGTATGTATACATGTATGTATGCATATACATACAAGTTAAATTTTAGGTAGGACATAGGTAAAAAGAGAAGTGGTAAATTGGAAGAAACACTGTAGTATTCAGTCAGAATGCAGGACAGTCATGTTTAAACTATCTAAATTTACAGTTATATTAAAGTTTTAAAGCATACACATGCATGTATGTGGCTGAGACACAAAAATTATGTAGGAAGATCTCAACATCTGAAGTTCAAGTATATGAGTAATTCCAATACATGTTAGTGGGCTAAACTCAAATATTTTGAAAACCAGATACGATTAGGGAAAAATACGGTCAAAGGATACTTATAAGTGATTGTTACAACAGAGAGAACAGCAAGCTAAAAATTAAGGGATTCAAAAGGATAGACTTTCTGATTACTTAGAGGAGAAGCTGGTGCTACAATATTAATATTAGACAAATTAAACAAACAACACAAACGTAAAACGTCAGTAGTGATAAAAGAAGACAAAGGCAAATATCCACTCAGATAATATTATAATCGTGATCATTGTGTGATTCTATCCCAAAGCTTCAAAATTCATAAAACAAAAATTGGCATAATTAGATGAGGTACTCATACGGGAAACTGGTAGATCAAGCAGTAACACATTGGTAAGTATAAGAATTATTTGCTTTAAAAAGTTATGTAATGCAATCTGGCAAACATATCTACAATAACAGCAGTATGCAGTAAATAAAGAATATTTATTATTCTGAAGTGCACAGAAAGACACCTCCATAGACTATTTCAAAAATGAGTAAAAATCAGAAATCATCTCATAATTTCTGACAAGGCAGAAGATTTAGAAATCATCAATTAAAAGATAGCTTTAAATGTCTTACACTTAGTCAAAAAATAGCAGGTGCTAGCAAGGTTGCAGAGAAAAAGGAATGCTTATACACTGTTGGTGGGAGTGTAAATTACATGGTGGGAAACAGTGTGGAACTTCCTGAAAGACCTAAAAACAGAACTATCATTTGACCCAGCAATCCCATTAGTGGATAATGCCCAAAGGAATATAAATTGTAACATAAAGACACATGCACATGTATGTTCATTGCAGCACCATTCACAATAGCAATGACATGGAATCAACCAAGATGCCCATCGATGGTAGACTAGATAAAGAAAACGTGGTACACAGGCACCATGGAATACTCTGAAGCCCTAAGAAAGAATGAGATAATGTCCTTTACAGGAACACAAATGGAGCTGGAGGCCATTATCCTTAGCAAACTAACACAGAAACAGAAAACCAAATACCACATGTTCTCACTTAAAAGTGGGAGCTAATTAACGAGAACACATGGACACATTGAGGGGCACAACAGACACTGACGTCCATTGGAGTGTGGAGGGTGGGAGGAGGGAGAGGATCAGGGTAATAACTAATGGGTACTCAGCTTAGTACCTGGGTGATGAAATAATCTGTCCAGCAAACATGCAACACATTACCTATATAACAAACCTGCACATGTACCCTTGAATTTAAAAGCTAAAAAATATCCTACACTTTTGGAAAAGAGAAAGCATTCCTAAACGCTCAAGAAATATCATAATGGCAGTTATAAAATATTTTGGAATAAATGACAAGAAGTGTAATTTTGGAGTAAGTAAAATGAAGAAGAATACAAGCATGACAGAAAATAAAGAAAGAAAATCAAGAGACAAGAGAGGATCAAATATTTCTTTGAAAAAATGTGGCTTTAATAAAGGAAACTGTAGCAAATCTAATTATTAAAACAGAGAAAGAATGGCCTAAATAATTGACGTTAGCAACATAAAGAAGGAGGGTAAGGTGAAGTAGATATTTACTGTCTGTTTTGTTTTTTATTTAATTGTGTATAATTAAGATGTACAACATGACATGACATTTAGAAATACCTAAATGTGCTAAAATGATTGCTACACTCAAGCAAATTAACATACCCATATCATATAGTTCTTTTATTTTGTGTGTGGGGGTGTGTGTGTGTGTGTGTGTGTGTGTGTGTAAGAGCACCTGAAATCTACTCTCTTGGAAAGTTTCCAGTATGCAGTAAAATAGTATTAGCCGCTAAACTGCTGTACATTACATCTCTAGATGTATTCATCCCACACAACTGCAGCTTTGTATCCTTAGCCAACACCTCCCGACTCCTCCAGCTCCCTGCTTCGGGTAATCACTCTTCTCACTTTCGTAGATTCCACATGTAAGTGGGATCATGTAGCGATCTTTTGGTCCCATGTCTGGAGTAATATTTTAAAAAGCCATGATGGCATACTACATAAATGTTTTGAATATATTTGAAAACCTAGCCAACATGAATATTTTATAGCAATGTATACACTACAAAAATTGTGTTAAGAATAAATAAGCCGGCTGGGCGCGGTGGCTCAAGCCTGTAATCCCAGCACTTTGGGAGGCCGAGGCGGGTGGATCACGAGGTCAAGAGATCGAGACCATCCTGGTCAACATGGTGAAACCCAGTCTCAACTAAAAATACAAAAAATTAGCTGGGCATGGTGGCGTGTGCCTGTAATCCCAGCGACTCAGGAGGCTGGGGCAGGAGAATTGCCTGAACCCGGGAGGCGGAGGTTGCGGTGAGCCGAGATCGCGCCATTGCACTCCAGCCTGGGTAACAAGAGCGAAACTCCGTCTCAAAAAAAAAAAAAAAAAAAAAAAAAAAAAAAAAAAAAAAAAAAGAATGAATAAGCCACACATAACCAATAGCCAGTGAAGAAATTGAATCAGCAATAGTTGCAATTGCCGCTCAATGTAAAGGGATCCACAGTTTGATCCATAAGTCAACTGAGTCTGTGAAAGGGCGAAGTAATGGATCCAAAAAATGTTACTAAAATCAGAATGAAACTTAGCTTTTGTATCAATGAATGACATTGATACAATGTCATCAATAACCTCTTATTACCCATGGCTTCCATCTGACTCTTGTCATTCCTGCTAGAATTTCTAACTCACTGTCCATCAAGTTCTACTGACTGTGTCCCCTTCCAGGAAGACTGCAATGTTCCCTCGAGTTCTTTCTTGCTGTCCTTTGACTGTGGGACTCTGCCTTGCCTCCCTGTGTCTGTGGACGGGTATGTTCAGCCTCCCCAGCCAGATAACAGGCTGTCCTTGTATCCCACACGTGCCCAGCGTGGTGCTGCAGGTGGAGTGTGTGACTGTATCTAAGGCTGAGGAGACACTTGGGTATCGCCTCCCTCTCTTTAGTCATCAGCGGTTGTGATATTAAAGAAGCTGAGTCCAAAAGAGCATAGGGCCACGTCCTGCCCTGCTGACTGCAGCCGCACTTGGCAGGCTGCTGTGTTCTGAGGGCCTTTGGCCGTCTGGAGGGCAGACATGCAGGGAGTGTTTGCTTGCTGCCTCTGACTGGCTGTGTGCCCACCTCACCCCGAGTCACCCGCAGCTCAGGTTCCAGCCAGCCCGGGGCTTCTAAATATAATGTGTGCTCTGGGGTCCCCGGTCATGCATAGTCACTGCAGCCTGCGTCTGGGCCTGTGTGGGTGATGCAGCCTCTCTTCACTCACTAAGAACTGATTCTTTCAAAGCATGTGTTTTCTGAAGAAACTTTAGAACCACATTCATTTTAGAAGAACTAAAGAAAACAAATAGGTGAGTGACTGCCTTATGGCTGAGTTCACACTTTTTCTCTGACCTCTAGGTCTGTTTTAGATGGAATAAGTTCTGTGAATTGTTTATAATTGGACGTGTAGTTCTTACTTTTTCAACCAAATGTACTACTTAATTGTATGTTTTAATTGCAATATATTTGGTTGAACTTTTGTATAAACATTTAAATTCCTTTTATCAGATATGTATTACATGGTAAATGATAATACTTTGTAACAGTCACATGGGAAAAGGAAAAGGAAACTCCCTGTGATTCATATCAACATCTCTTTTCCCTCTTGCTGTTTCTCAGATTGATGCTCACAGCTTCCTGGGTGCTTTCTCACAGGTAAAGCCATGGCGTCGGTACCTTCCATTGGTTGCCTTCTAGCCAGAAATCAGTATTATCGAAGTAAGTTGCATCATCATAGAGAACATCTCTAGATAATATGATTTGAGGTGATGTTTGTGGATATTGCTGACTTATGTATCATGTTACATTCAGAGCTTAAGGAGACAGCTATTGGTGATAGTGAAGAAATCAGGAAGCCGCAGGGACCCCTCTGACCCAGCGCTGACAGGAGCTTCTCTTTGTTCTAGCTACGTTATATCAATGAAGCCACTGACACTTATAAGTCAGTGAACATCAGCTTATGTTTCATAATCACATTTTAATTTTATGTGCCTTGCATTCTGTAAGATCCACTAAAAATGAATAATTTTACATAAATAAAGCATTATTCAACTCCTTAAAAAAGAAAAGATAGCATGATTTTGCTTCGAAAATTTTCTAATTTCCACCTTCTTTTATGGAGAATAAGCCAACTTCTATCTGGTCAGTTTTATTTTTATTAATCTATCCATCTGTTCATATTCATAGCCAAATAGAAAATTGTAGCTTCTTAGAGAAGATTGAGAAATTCCCTAAAATGAAATAAGCATTTTAGAACTGAATTAGTAGTTATTAAAAGTATCTATGGCAACAACACATAGAAGACTCCTCTTTCAAGGGTTGCTCATAATATAAGTCTCAGAAACATCTACTGATTTATTCATTGTACCAAAAGTTTAAACTATGCTCATTTACTGGTGCTATTTATCTATAGGAGTTATTTTCATATTCTGATATTATAAGAGACATAGGTTTTAAATACAAGTCTAATAAGACAAAATACTTGCTCTTTTAAAATAATTCCTTAATTTCTAGATTTTATGACTTTTGTAGAACTTTAAACATATACATATGTAATATTTCTACTGTAGTACAACATTTATTCTTGGTCTCATTCTAAGTTTTTGAATCTGAAAACATTTACAATACATTTTAAATTCAACATTCATATCCATGGAGAGAGAGAGAGTTGCCTGCCTTGGAAATGAGTTTATCTTATCAGTGGAACATACAGTATTTTCTTAATGCGGCAGCTTTCTATTGATTGGTAATTTGATCAGATTTTTAATTCATGAATTCATAAGCCAGGAGTGAATGATTTCAAACCAGGCTCCTTGAGTGTCTGTATGTAAATGATGTGAATGTGCTTGTCTGGTTGCTAGTTATTTATTTGTTTAATATCATTTGTTTCCTACAGAGTCCAGTATTTCTTCAGTTAGTTCTTTAACGGGCTCTGATTCTGTTAACTTCATAGATGATGACAAATCACAGCAAGGTACTTAGTTATTTCTTTAGTGTCACTCTTATTATTTCTTTTTATTTTTAATCTCTACTTTGTTTAATAAGGAGTAATATGAATTTTATTTGATAGGGTTGCCTGAAGTGGCAGAATCCACCTGGTGGTTTAAATCCTTTTTCCAGTCTGAACCTGTGCTTTCAAATGTGAGAGTAAAAGATCTGTCTGCTTTGGGTGAGTTTAGCCTTTTCGCTAAGGGCATTTCTTATTTGGGGAATGAAACTGTGCATATGGTACGTGTTACGTTACTCACTTAGGGTACGAACGGTTGTCTCCTGAGGGCGGCGAGCCTCGCCTATGAAGTGCACCTGAGGGACGAGCGTGGCACTACCACAGCTCCCTCTTTGCAGGTCATTGTCAGAAAGGTCGTAACACCCTTTCCTGTTCAATCACTCAAGGGTGGTGGAGAAGTCATATGCCCAACGGGGTGATTGTTTGGCAGGGAAAGGATTGGGAATCATAGGAAAGGATCTAAATTTGTTTTGCAAATACCTTCAGGAAAAGAATAACCACTGTCTAGTTGTTGTCTTAGATAACCTTAGGATGACACTGTTGATTTTGATTAGCTTCTGTGTGGTGCAAGTTACCAGACAGGTGGAATTGGGGGTGTGTGTGCAGTTGTTTTCAGGTGTTTTGAACTCTAACACACCGACCAGCGCAGTTGTTATTTAATATGTTTAAACTACTTATTTTGGATTTTAGACCCTTGAATACCTACTAATTAAATGGAATAGAAATAATTTATAATAAAGGGATTCATAGACGCTAGTGTTGAAATAGTGATTTTGATGAATTTTCCACCTAAGATAAAGTCAAAATAGAACCATTATTTAAAATATTTAAAAAAAGCCAATGCAAGGCTAATTGTTGGAAAGATGTCTTCTCGTCTCTCTTCATCAAGTTTATTCATTTGAATTATCTGGAGAGTGTTTCATTGATTTAACCCCTCCTCACTGACTACTGTAAAGACAGCCCCAATTGCATCTTTGCACTGAGTTTCGATGAACGCGTTGGTAACGGCTGCCTGTCCTATTCAGCACCAGCAGTTGATTCTGACAATCAAGATCCTCTGCCTGCTGCAGACATCCACACGTGAACAGCTCCCCTTTAGCACCCCAGCTACTACAGGACCCTTCTCCATTGTAAGAAGACAAAAATGTGCCCGAGATCTCATTTATGAGTCAAGATCACAGCAGCCACTGATAGAGCAAAAGTTTAGGCATTTTTCTCAACACAAAGATTATCACTGCAAATGGTACTTGCCACCTGGTGCATATTTGAAAAGTGTGCCATTAGAAACAAGACACCCTTTTAAAGTACTATATCTTGAAATGTTGTGATTTATAGAAAGTAGCTCTTTCATTACTCATATCATTTTTATTTAAAAAACTTGTTAGATTCTTTTTATGTCTGTTGAGTGACTTATTTATTATGCCTTAAAACTGATGCGTCAGTGTTTCACACACTGGTTTAAAGGGCATTGAATGTGGAAGTTTAGAAAAGAATTGTAAAAATTCCATTTTTTCAAAAGTAATAAAAGTTGGAAATAGCATATGTGTTCTTAAGTACATTACCTGCTAAATATATTACCACACAGGTAACAATTTGATCATTGTATAGACTTTAAAATACATGATTTAAAATAATATTTAATAACATGGAAAATAATAATATAATATTGTATTAAAATTAGTATAAGATACCATATTTAGTATGATTTTAGTTGAATTTAAAAGTTGCATGTGCATAAAGACAGACTGGAAAGAATTATACCAAAATGTTGATGGGGCTATTTCTGGAGATGGGGTTATGGGCGTTTTTCATTCTCTTTTTAATATATTTTTCCATGTCAGCAAATTTTTCTGATATAACAAGTATTGTGTATAATTAGAAAATAATAAATGTTAATATAAAAAGGAACACTGTAATAAATTTTCTGAATAAGTATATTCCCTACATTGAGTAGAATAGCTCTCTCTTCTCTGAGTATTGGGTAAATAATACTTAATAATTTTCAACTGATAACTTTCTGTATATTGCTTGCAAGTAGTTTCCAGTGTATGATGTAAGGCTTAGACACTAGAGATGCTCGCTCATTTAGAGGTGGACATCACTATTGTCACGGGGCCAATGCTTCCTTAAACACCCAGTGGAGCACACATAACCCTTAGTAGGAATGTCTTCCTACCCAGCTACATAACCAGGACAGAGCATCCAGGCTGGCCACTGGTAATGACAGACATTGTAGACAGATCATTTACCCTTTCTGATTGGGAAAGACATTTCTTCAAGCTTCTGTCCCTCTGTCACATAGCTGTTAATGAAACGACTCAAATATCCCTTTGATCCACGGCACTCTTTACATGTGGTGGTTTTCCTGGTGGCTGCCTGAATGAACACATTTTCTATATTTCTAGAAGCAGGTTAAATTTTAGGAGTATGTATATTTTACTTGATTTGGGTCTAAATTAAATCTTAATGATTAAAGATGGATTTTTTTAAGTGAGAGAAAAATATTGTGAAGCAAAATGATAAACTGTAGAAAGATTCTGTTTCTACTTTAACATCAGTAAATTCCTTTTTTTTCTTAATTACTTGGTATATGTATGAACAGATTCCTTGTTTAGGTTACTTGATGAATTTTGCAAAATATGTTAGCAAGTCGGCATTGGTTTTGTTTACTCAGAAAAATATCATTTGTTAAATTACCTTATTTGGGAAGGCTTATGTATTTGTAAAAATTACAGCTTTTATGTTAGCTTAGACTAGTGTTGCTGTTTCTGGAAGTTATTACTGTTTAAAGTAATGGAATTTTACATAAAATTTTAAATCAAACATACTATGAACATATATAGTTGTTAAATATTTTAGAGTGGTAACACACACATATGTGAGGATAGATGAGATAGAGAGATAGATATCTTTAAAAAAAAAAAAAAAGAAATCTTTCCAGAAAGTAACATCAAATTGAACTCACAAAATGAGTTAAAAATGAAAAGAATTTCTGCATACTATCCCAGAGTTTCTACCAAATGAAAACAGAAATAAATAAAAAGAACAAGATATCTTCTGGTTAATTCTAGGTAATCTTTCTCGATGTATCAGAAGACATTTTTGCACTGTCTTTAAAAGGTACCTCACAAATAGATCTCAGCACAACTGTGTGTTATTTTAGATAAAATATCTCCTGCCTGGCTCTGTTGCTTGTTGGGTAGATAATCAATAGCGAAGGCTGAGTACAGCGGGGAGGTGATATCAATCCAGATGACTTGCGATGTGTTGTGAACATTCTAATCTGATATTGTGAAACGTTATTTGACTGGACTTGGATGTCTGTATTAAATGCAGTAAGATTTTGACAGTTTAGGCTCAGGCTCTATAAAACTATATGTTGGTATTCCACTATGTTTTTTTTTTTGATATATGATTTCGATCTCAGGTTTCAAGTTACTGATTTTATATTTTTACAGATAAAACCACCAACAGCCAAACCCTCAATTCTCACTACCGTAAAAGTTCCTGAGTTGGTGTTTAGGCCTACTTGGTGCTTCACACAATACGTAGAATTTAAAGTTGTAGAAAACAAAACTACAGGCTTCCATTTAGCTATTAAAGAAGGATGATAACCAAAATTATTTTAAAGAGTGAAGGTAATTGGCCAGGTTGAATTGAATAGGGCTAAAACTCTAACTCATAGAAATTCAAGAAGTGTAGCAAGTTGTAATTTATTCAAGCTCCCTGTAAAATCTTCCAACTTAACACATCAAAGCCAGGTTCATGGTCTCTATACCTCTCCACACCTCCTTGTAGAATCTTCACTTTCAGATAATGATGGCAGCCTTAATCAACTCAAGTAAGTAGCAAGTTGTCCTATTTTCTTTCCCATCCAATCCAACATCAAGTCCTTTCAATTTTATATCTTTTATGTTTCTGGGGTCTACCTACTTATTTTCTTTCCCAAGAGTACCACCGGAATTCAAATGTCCCTCATTTGGAATACTTCCATAACCTTCTAAGTGGTCTGCTTACACTATTTTTCTCTCTCTCCAGTCAACTGTCTTCTACAGAATAACTATAACTGTCTTTGGAATTTACAACCTGATTATCCTCCCCTGTGAACATTCACACACGCACACACACACTGCCACATTTGCACACACAGAAGACTCAATCGCTTCTAATGCACTGGATGTAAAGTCACAGCTCACCAATCCCTGCTCTTGTCCAGCCCCTGGAGACCCCCATGATCCATCCCTGCACCCAGCTCCCCACAGCCTCCTGTGTTCCAGCTGCATCTGCCCTCCTGCAGTCCCTTACGTACACCATTTTCCCTGTTGCCACAGGGTCTTTCATTTCCTTCAGCTTAGAATCTCCTCACTTAATATCTGCTTATCTTTGAAACCTTAGCTCCAAAGTCACTTCCTCTGAGAAACCTTCTCTGACATCCCTGACTCAGTTAGGTTTTCCATTACCCACGTGGCTAGTGCATGTCTCTCTCCTTCCCAGCACTGATCACAGATATAATTTTACAATTGTTTCTGTTGTTATTTGATTAATATAGGGTTCAAGAAGGCAAGGATCTTGTCTGCTTTGCTGAACATTGTGACATGCAATAAATATTTGCAAATGAATGACAATGGTTCTTTAGCCAGGACTGGTCACAACCTCAAGAATTACTCTTCAGTGGGAAGGAGGAAACACTCAATAAAGAAATAAAGAAAATGTTTCCCGATAGTGATACGTGCTGTAAAGGAAGTGAAGTGTTTTGTGGGAGAGTGATGATATAGGGTGGAGATAGGAGGAGGGCAGCTTTGATTGCTGAAGTTAGGAAAGGACTCAGTGAGAAGCTGGCTTTGGGGTAGCGCCCTGAAAGAGAAGTGGCCAGTTTTGTGAGAAATACTCTGGGCAGAGAAAATAGCCAACGCAGCTTGCTATGCTCTGCGTTGTGACTACAGTGTCTCCTTACGCTGCTGTCAACAGACAATGGCTTTGGAAGAATTTTGTATTTTCCATGCGGAGGTCAAATTGTCAACAGCTTTTGTTCCCAATTACATCCACACTGAGAAATGGCAGGGTAAGGGGACTATGCCCTTTCTCCTTCAAGTCCCTCAAGGTGATCCACGAATTGTCCACCATCACACTGCACAATAGCGTGCATATAAAGTAACCCGAGTCCAGTAGGGCATGGCCTCAGGAGTGCCCAGTCCTTGAGATAGTTCTCTAAACCAACAAGGTAAGTTCGACTCTATCATTTCCTTTCTACCCCTCATACCAAGTGGGTAAGTGCATTGCTATTAAAGATTCTTCTTGACAAACTATCTTTCTAGAACAATTTTGTATCTAAGGACTAGAAAAAAAGGGAGAGCTACGCTATCACCTTCCTTACATAATAGTAGGAAGAATGAAAAGTTTTCTCCACTGTAGTCAAATCATTTGGTTCTCAAAAGGCTAAGAAAAAAGCTTATGATGTGTTTCGAATGCATCTTCAAACAACTTTTACTCAGCTTTTAAATACCTTTGAATTAAGTTCATTATAACCAAAGATTTATTTTGTTTGTTCAGAAAAAAAATGTATTTCTGTTATAGTTTTATCTAATTAAGAGGGTTAGAGCATAAAAGTTTTGCTTCACCATTTTTAGTTAGGTGTATTGGAGTTTGTTTCCCTCCAAATTATAAACTCTAAGTATATTAAATGCTTTGCACTCTAGTAATTATTTGATTAACAGCCAACTGAAATATAAACTTCATAAATATTTTATCCTTTTCTCATGCTTCGCAGAGGTTTTAGAATTAATGAATGAAGTTACTGGAACTATGATTTGTATGCCAATTCACTACAGAGGTTAGTGTTTTAAAATTCTTTCTCAAGGAGGAATGAGTAACATTTTATTTTCAAATAAACTACCTTTGAAAATATTTGTGCAATCTTAAGAAGCAAATTCAGAGAGCTACTTATCTTCAAATTTCAAGCTAAATTTTACCATGAAAAGGGAAGACAGTTAAAACTCATAAAGTAAACCCATCATTTTACTTTGTTCTTTTTTATCCTAGATGGATTTCATATATCCACTTATTTTCTGTTACTGCTGATACAGCTTAATATTCTAGAAGGAGACTGTATTGTTTTCTCTTTATTGTGCAAAAAACATCCTTCTACCTTGATATGTGTGACTGCTATTCACAGCAGTCCCTGAGTTAGGAGCATATTTGAATCTGTTTGATGGTGAATGTAAGAACTCAATTGGTGCTGAATTCTAGATGCCACCAGAGTAAGGGTTTTGAATTGAAAGCAAAGCAGCCTTCACTTAAAGGAGCAGTGTAGGACTGGAATCCGAAACTGGGGATCTGTGGAGGTGAATTAATTCCTCTTACACATATTTAAAAGTTTAATAAATCTGTAACTG